CCAGGGCCAGCTGTAACCTAAAAGTCCTGCTCTCAGTGGTCTGCTTCCGCTAGTCAGGTCACATCTCAGAGGCTCCACGACTTCCCAGACCAGTGCCACCAGCCAGGGACCATATATTCAAACATACACACACACACACACACACACACACACACATGCACACACACACTGCTCACAGCCCTGTGCTGTTGGAAGACACAGATTTACCCTTTATAAGCCCCTGGCCAGTGCTTCTCTACCCACAGCGTGAGTCTTGCTGTTTTTCTGCTGTCCCTGGAGACTGCACAGGTAGTGAATGAAAGTTTATGCCTCGCCAGATTGCATCTCCGGATCGCATCTCCAGATCGCATCGCCCGATCGCATCTCCGGATCGCATCTCCCTTCACGTCTCCCAATCACATCTCGGCAGGCTGAGCTGTTAGCTTGGTTCTTGGGGCTCAGGGCAGAAGTTAGTCAGCTGCTTGCATGACTGTTTTTTTGTTTTTTAAAATCTGGTTTTGAACACTTGCCTCGACTGTGGATTCTGTTTCCATGTTGGACAAAAGGTCTTGCTGCATGCTGTCTACATGATGCTCAAACCCCTGGCAGGTTGAGGGAGCATCCTAGGAGGGGGTAGGATGTGAGATTGTAAGGTTAAGGAGGGGATATTGTAAGGATATGGCTTGATGTGACTGCAGACATCTAAAACCATAACTACACAAGGTCCCCGAGTAACCCTGTTTTTTTTCTGCATACTTTCTCAGCAAATCATAAATGGATTAAAATATTAGAGGCAGCTGTGGGACTTTACTGTGGGACTATGGATGCCCCTGACTTTTTAATATCATCTGAAGCCAGGTAAATTCTAGGCAGGATGAAGTCACTGTTGTGTGACCCAATAAATGCACTCATCTGGATACATAGGACCATACTTCTGCATATAGGTCTTCCAAAAAATCACATTCTGCATGATTCTAGATCTGTCTGTGTCTCTTTGGTCAGGGCACCTGAAGGCTGGTCCTCATACACCAGGACCACATTATCCAGGAGTACACACTCCTTCCCAACCTCACTTCTGAAGCCAAGGTGGTGGGTGGTGTAGCTTGTGTGTCTGGACATTTGGTCCCTGGCTACTGACACTGTTTGGAAGATGGAACTGCTCCAGAGGAAGTTGGTCACTGGGAGCTGGGCCTCGGCTTTTACAGTCCCTTCACACTTCCTGTGTGCTCTTGGTTTCCTGCTCTAGCAAGATATGAGGGGGTGAGGGCCCCACCCTGCGGCCCCTCCTGCGCCCACAGGGCCTTCTGCTGCGATGCCTCCTGCTCCATGGTAGACTGTGTCCCCTCGAATTTAGGCCAAAGGAGACCCTTAAGTTGCCTCATTTTGGGCATTTGGACAAAGCAGAAAGAAAAATAAAATATTCAGTCCCGGAATTCTACTTTTGAATTTGGTTTTCTTTTTAACAAATTCTCAGAGTTAAGTGGAGAAAAATCATAAAAAATCAATTCAAGCTGTGGCCTTCTGAGGAAGAGGGGTGAGATCATATGACCTTTACTCTAGTGTGAAAATCAAATCTCCATGAAGCCCAGTGTGCAGTTCCTCTGAAAAAAAAGCGAGATGGAAATTTAGAGACAAAGGCAGAGAAATGCCCAGACTCAAGCCTCAGACTGTTGATGACATCTGCAAAAACTGATGAAGCAGCTCGCTTGCTTTTAAACAGGTTCCCTTAGGGAATGGCGATGGAGAGCTTGGCTTGCTAAGAAACAAGAAAAAGATGCCTACATTTTCCTCGAAAATGACCATTGGGAACAGTTCTTCACTGTATAGAATTATAGCATTCATAGGTGGCCGGGAGAAACAACACATTATAAATAATGACCTCAGGATTGAACCATGACCCTTCGGTCTGGCATTGGTCTGCTTTCTCTGACTGGTCAGACCACCTTTTCTCAACATCTCTGCAAAAACAGGGAGGGAAAAGCCAGATTTGTTTCAGGGGGAAAAATCAGACAACCCTTCATGCTTACGCAAGAACAGAACGAAAACTATGGCCCATTGTCATATGCTAACATCTTAGCTGGGTCTCTCAGAGCTCAGTTGTCTTTCCCCGAGGCTAGCGAATCCTATGGTACTTCAGTTTAAGATTTCACACCAAATTATCTCTCAACGCCAGATGACCCACATTTTCTTTCCCTTTTCTTCTTCAGTGTGATTGAACTAGGTCCTCGGGGCATGCTGGGCCAGGGTCTGCCACTTAGCTACCCCTCCAACCCCTTGCTGTAGGGAACGGTGTACCCATCAAGAAACATGAAGTTGCTCTCTGTCAACCTAGGGGGAGGGCCATGCCGTGTGATGTGACTAGTGGAGTCTGTTATTGCGACACTATTTTATGGACAGAAAATATTTTCATAAATATTCCTATTTATGAAAACATAAGTTTGAACTAAGGTTGTTGATACTGGTTCTTCCAGGGAAGGGACTGGAAGAACTCGGGGTACCTGTGGGACCATCTTCTACAGTAGCTGTTCATTTCAGCAGCTAATAAGAATGTGAGGTGAACAGGGGAATTACTTAAAAGGCTCAAGCTGGGCAGCAGCACAAAGTGAGTGGTTTTAGTTTTGCTCTGTGGTGAAGGAAGACTTTGGAGGAAAGCAAGACAGTTGGTTCCTGGTCAGGGGCTGCTGTGGTCGGCTTAGCTGGAGAGAGAATGGTTCCCAGACAGTGGAGAACAGTATGGGTAGGAATGAGTTTATCATTTAAAAATGATATTCTTGAGGTGAACGATACCTAGGTTTGCTAAGGTGGAGTGTGGTGTCAAGGCTCCAGCTATATCCCAGTTTCTGCCTTGGGTAACCAGAAGAAGCTAATGGCAGACAGACGGTGAGTGATGGAAGCAGCGTCAACACTTAGGGGAGATGGGAAGAGTGGAGCCTAAATACATGACGTTCCCCTTGACGCTGAGAATTCAGAAGGCGTAGGAATGAGCTCTGGGCACAGCCCCTCCACTCTCTGTTCCCCCCACCTCCACTCTCTTGGCCCCTCATCTTCCTCATCAGATTTGGTGCAGCAGGTGTGGTCAGAGTTGTGTCAGCTCAAGTGGAGACTTAGCAATGACCAAATAAGACACAAGTTAATAATTGATATATCTTTTTATTATGCACAGATAAAGGAATTAAAACTGTGGTTATCAAAACTATACCTCTAAGCAGGTTCACAAGTCTCTGACTCACAAACAGGAAAGGTTACAGCAGGGGTGTTCCAACTGGCCACAGGGATTTTTCAGGGTACGCTTTGACCCTCACAGACGAAGAACAGTAACAAAATCAGGCTCATTCAGGAAAAACCAGAATAGAGGAAGGAGTATTGTATTTGGAAACTGATAATAGTCCTTCCTAGAAAAATATCTGTCAGTTTTATGAATGAACCCCCAGATAAAACAAACAGGGTTAAGAAAAAGTTTGCATACACGACTCAGCCGACGACATATGCTGTTAACACAACCAGCAGTACACGCATCATTCAAACCATGAGGTAGTTACAGTAAAAAAGGAAGGGCGCGCCTGTGCACCCCACACACTCAGGCATGCCTGCCGAGAACACACGCAGGAAATGGACTCACGATACATTACCAGACAAGCAAGAGACCATTTTGTATTTAGGAAAAAAACTGCTACATGACCAGCTCCAGCAGAAAAAAAATCTCCAACCTTGACAACGCAGTGTTACAGCTGGGGAACACCACAACATGAAGAGCGGGGCATTGCAGTTACCATGGTCTCGGGCAGTCTAGCGTGGCCTCTGATCATGGTGTGGCCCCCAGAAACAACACAAGACTTTGCAGGTGGAACTGGGTTCAGCCACTCTTAGGAAACTTGCAGAATATGTTATAAAAGTAAAGCTTATACTTTGTATTAAATCTGTGATTGGCAGGAAGAAGTCAGAAACACTGTAACAAGAGGCTGGGGAGGAGACCCTAGCTTTATACTTCAGAAATACTTAACACATTCATTCTCCAATACGGAATGGGGTTCTTGAGCTGAGTAATACTTCTGATAGTGAGATCCAAGGAAATAAAAGGTGATTTTTTTCTTTCTCTTTCTAAAAATATTTTTGTTTGCAATTTATAAATTTGTAAGTTAATTTAAGATTATAAAATCATTGGTAATGTAGTATCTCTCTCAAAAATATACATTTAAATATATTACAAAATTTTTAAACTCCATCCATCTAAGAAATGACTTTTTTAATACCTTCCCATAGCTAATTTTCTTTTTAACAAGACGGTAAAGGTTTTTTCTTTTTTTGTTTTTTAAAGTAACTGATGAGAATTCACAGTAACTGAAATTAAACATTTCATATGGAGTAACTTAAATTTCTCTAAAACATTTAAATATATCTTTATACAGACTTTTTGTAGTAAAATATAGCTATAAGTGATTTAAAGACTCTAGTCTTCTTTGAAGACATCTTTAAACATTTTATACATAGAATATATACTTAACAATTACATTCTGCTGAAGGTTAGGCAAAGCGCATTATTTTTAGACACAGGTAGCATAATCTAGGTTTTCCACAATGACAGCTTGACGAGAAATGATGAACTAAAGAGAAGTATTTCCCTGGTCTCACACCATTCGTACTCATAGGTGGAAATCTGAAATACTCTCAACTCATCAATGCATCAGTCTGAAGCTGTCAGCCTGGAAGGAATCTGCTTTGGTTTGAATTATCCCAAATGAATAAGAGCCATTCATTCATCCTTCCTTCCTTCCTTCCTTCCGTCCGTCCATCCATCTATCCGCCCACCCACCTACCCATCCGCTCACCCACCCACCCACCCATCCATCCATCCACCCGCCCGTCCATCCATCCGTCCGTCCGTCCATCCATCCATCCGCCCATCCACCCATCCGCCCGCCCACCCATCCGCCCGCCCACCCACCCGCCCGCCCACCCATCCGCTCACCCATCCATCCACCTATACGCCCACCCACCCACCCACCCGCCCACCCATCCGCTCACCCATCCATCCACCTATACGCCCACCCATCCATCCATCCATCCATCCACCCAGACTACGACTCAGTGACAAAGACACTGCCCTCTCCATCCATTTGCCCTGTTTCTACCAGCAACATTTCCTACTGAAGTTTTCACTCCTGAAGCACAACCACCTGACTCTGAAAGGCAGTAGAGCTTGCGCCTGAGAATTTCAGGCTAGAATCGAGCTTGTTCTACTTATGGACTCTTAAGTTGTTTGGGGGAATTCTGGGAAAGCAATCTGATTTCATTTACGGTGGATCCGGCATGGAGAGTCCCCTCTGGGGCTCAGTTTTAACACAGCGCTACAGAGCGCTGTCAGAGTGGCCTCATATTTTTCTGTTGAAGGAAGTTCCCCTGAAACCCTTTTTTTGTGAGCTACTTTAAAGCTAGTGCCCTTCTCTCTCTGCATTCTGAGGGCAGGACTGGTGACACGGTGAGATGACCTGGGGCCTCCTGGAAGGGTCTGGCTTTGATAAAGGGTTCATCAGAAAGGCCGCTGTATTGAGTCCACATAGTCTACGGCTTATAACTCACGTTTCAACTCTGGAAGCATAGAACATTTTTAAAGAGGGTGTGGTCTTATCTCCAATGTGCAGATGCCACACACTTGTGCTTATATGCACACACACACACACACACACACACACACACACGTCAGGACAAAATGTCAGAAACAGGCACAACCCGTTGTTCCATACTTTGGGCATTTTCTGTTTCTGTATGCCTGCAAGAATTAACAAATTTGGCTTTAAGATATGTATGGAGTTGGCGTGTGTGTGTGTGTGTGTGTGTGTGTGTGTGTGTGTGCACGTGAGTGGAGGAACAGGAATCAGCATTCATTTTGGCCCAAGAAAGGAATGTTGCCTTAACAAGTGGCAGGGTGTAGCCTGCTCCCCCAGGCTAGCGAGCTAAACAGGGCACCATGTAGGGTGTGGCAGGTCAGGAGTGGGCACCCAGAGAGAGGTGCGGATTGGATACGGAGGGGACATTTCTTCTATTTTACATCTTGGTGCAGCTAGGAGGGCATCTTTGGCCACGTCTCCCTGGCTCTATTCTCTGGCTGTCTTCCTTTCTCCTTCCCCCTTACTCTGGGTCAAACTTCTGACCCCAGATGATGGCTGTTTGGACACCTGGACAAAGCAGCATTAAAAAAGAAAACACTAGTGTGTTTCACATTGAAACCCTCATCCTCCGAGGGTCTGGAGAAGGCCACTGGCTTAGCTTTCATATGTGACAGATGTCCGGGGTGATGGGGGGTGGGTGCAACAGGCTGTTGGCACACTGAAATTCACTCTCTCTTTACTGGGAGCCCAGATGGAGCCTTCGGAGTCTGGACAGGCAGCGGCGGCTTTGGGCCCTGCCCTGGTGGCGGCGGCAGCGACGACCGGGCTCCCACTAGGCCATGCTGCTGCTGGAGCAGGGGCTGCTCTGAGTGCTGCCGATGCTGTGGGCTGCGCTGCTGTTCTCCGAGGCCGGTGGTGAGGTGGGGACTTGCTGCCTTCGTGCTGTTTCTCCTGCAGTGAATAAAGACATGTCACACATGCGTTCTGGAAAGGAATGCCCCCCCTTCTTTGATATGTTACCTGGTGTTTTTCTTAACTATAGGCAGAAGCAGCTAACTCCGATTGGCGGGAGGGCCTTGCACTATAATTTTTTTTTCTGATTTGTTCTTGTTTTTGTAAGGCAGTAAGTGCTTCTGTATGGCCAGTTGTAGCTAGGCTCTGTGGCAGCTGAGGACCAATACTCTGGATTCTAGGGCCTACAACTCAGGGGTGAGCCTTCTGAATGCCAGGAAACCACATAGCCATCAAGTACAGGCATCTACAACTATCTAACGAGCTCATGACCAAGAAACGCACGAATGAGTTATACAATTAATCACAAAACAGTAACATAATGGTCTAAGTAAATTTGAAATTGTGGATTGGTGAACCCCTTTTTGTACTAGGAATGGGACCTAGGTCTTTGCACATACTAGGCGAGAGCCAAATACCACTGAGCTATCCCCAACCTCTGCTTCAATGCCTTGTTTAAATCTGGGCCAGTGAAGTTAAGACTTTGCTCTACCTGCGGCACAAAAAGCTTTGTGTGCCCGGCATGAAACCTGCCTGAGAAGTAGGAACTGGGGTGGGGGCTGCTATGGGAAATCTCTTTGGGGCAAGAAGTTTAAGCTGACTGCAGGTGGGACTTACAGTGGCTGCCAGCAAGCAGCCTCCTTGCATGCTGAGGCTCTGTTGCATTCAATGCATCTATCTCCCAACACACCAGCAACAGCCTCCTTGCACATCGAAGCTCTATTGCATTCAATGCATCTATCTCCCAACACACCAACAAACAGACCCTTTGTACACTGCAGCTCTGTTGCATTCAATGCGCCTAACTCCCACACATTAAGCAGCCCTCTCGTCATTACACACTCCACCTCATTACAGCTCAGCCCATGCTTTGTGCCAAATGCACAACGCTCTGGGGAGTGAGGAAAGCTCAGGTCACACACATGGTTTGCATTTAACTGTGTAAGAGGCCCAGCGGTCTCTTCAGTTAAACCAGTCTCACACCAACTCCTCCCCCAAAAGAAAAAAACAAAAAAAAAACAACACAAAACTCTAGGAAGAGGAAAGTGATAGGAACTCTCAGCAACGGAACCAATGTCTCCAACCCCCACCAATGTGAGAAGCCCCCAGCAGGCAGGCCTGTTTGAGTTCTTTCCTGTCCTGCTGAAATGTACAGCTATCAGCCAGAGACAAGCAACCTCCCTTCAGCTTCCTAGAAACACCACCCAGCAGCAGCGAGAGCAGGCTCAGGCACTAGAGACCTGTCCTGCCAGTGCCTTCCTGGGGCCCCTCAAAAATCCCGGCCAGAAGAGCCATTCTGCAAAATGCACCAAGGGCTCGTGCCCCCGGCCAGGTTTCAGCTTCCTCTGACATCTGTTTTATGAACCACAGCCCCATGGATTCTGCATCCACCTCGGAGCACTTGAGGCTATTGTGTAAGCATTTGGTCCTTGCATTTCCTATAATTAATTTTCCTCCTGGTACTGGAGGGATGGAGGGAGAGGAAAGGGTGGATATTCCCAAGCGGCAGGTGGACTGCTTTAATGCTCTTCTTTCCTGGAGCATTTGGTATCTTCCCCAGCACTGGCCCTTCAAGTGTATGTAACCAACGGTGGGAAGCTTGCTTCGAGGGTAACAACACTTTGCCAAAAATTTACTTTCTCCAAAATGGGAAATTATTTCTAGAAAACAATCCAATCTTTTTTCTTTCTTTCTCCTCCCCTTCCCTTTCCCTACCTCTTTCTCCCTTCTGTGTTTTCCTTTTTCAGTGCTAGAATCTGAACCCAATGCCTTGTAAATGACAGGCACACGCTCCACCCAAGCTATAGTCCCATGTATTTCCAGCCCTTAACTGTTCTTGTGTACACACACACACACACACACACACACACACACACACACCTCCCCATTTAGATCAAGGGCACACTGGTCTAACAGGTCTTGCCATCCATTTGGGCTCTGCTGGCCTGGTCTGGTGAGCTTGGTCTCTAGCGGCTGAGGCAGGACATCTTTACTCATCTAGGGGCTTGTCCCATTTATGTCTTCCAGAACAGGACAAATGTTTGAAAATTCATGTCCAGGAAAATGTCAGCACTGTATCCTGCCCAGGAAGTCAGAATATCTGCTTCTTGGTATCTGTTTGTCAAATGTAATTTGTTGCTGTGTTGGTTTATTTTAATCAGTGCCCATTAAAAAGAGATCTTGTCAGCACTCAGAAGGCAGGGGCAGGTGGATCTCTGTGAGTTCGAGGCCGCTCTGGCCTACAGAGTGAGTTCCAGGATAGGCTCCAAAAGCTACAGAGAAGCTGTCTCAAAAACAAAACAAAACAAAACAACAGCAATAACAACAAAAAAAAAACAAAAGAGAGAGAGAGAGAGAGAATAAAAACAAATTTTGCAACTTTTAGAGTCTTGGAAATTCTTGCCTTGGTAATGAGAAAATGCTTTCCAAAGTAAAATCCCAAAGAGAGCTTAAAAGAGCCCTTATTCAAGACAGCAGAATCTGCCCTGAGGTGGGTGAGCCACACTAACCTGATATTATGCCAACTTTGGTTCAGCGCACAGTTTGTACGGGAAGAATCTGTCAGCGAACCTGTTAGTAAAGGCTGAAGACCCTCCCATGTCCTGAAGCAGCCTGGCTCTCTGGGCTAGAGGAATCTGTGAGTTCCAGGTTGAGTGGGAGACCCTTCTCAATATAGAAGGTCTAGAGAAACCAAGGAAGATGTGTAAGGTCAGCCTCTGGCACACGTGAGTGTGTGTGTGTATACATGTGCACACACACACTCACTCTCACACACTAACATTAATCTTAAGAAAAGGAAGAGAACCTTCCACAGATGAGCCCACCTGCCCTCCGGCTATTTTCACATGTAAAACCTAATATTTCTCAATATAACCAAGTTTTTTTTTTTTTCATCCTTCAGAAAATTAGGAAAAGCTTCCCCTGCCCTTTCTGGTGAGATGGGGGAGGAGCTGTAAGATTTCATCACAAAGAAGCCTAATGTGCCCACACTCCTGTTCCCACTGCCAGCACTGGGCCCAAGTGGTCCTTTGGCTTCCTGCCCCCCCCTCATCACACTATCTTTAAAGCATACCTTGGTGACAGGTACCGCTGGCACCCTGTGGAGGAGGTGGACCCTGTAGCTAAGCAGCTCAGTGAGACATAAGATGTTCTAGGGGGGCTTGTTCCTCACAGCACAAATTTAGCCATCAGAGCCTAGATGTTCAGTCTTTGTGCTTCTGAAATCTCAAGCACACAGGGGTGTGAAGGGAGAGCCAGGGAGGAGGAAGAGTGAGTAGGGAAAGGGGCATTTAGAGCCTGGAACAGTCTGGACCAGGGGTGGGGCAGGGTGAAGGGACACAAGATGAGAAAAGCAAGGATTAATCCGAGGCATTTCCTAGCCTGGGCTGGGACTAAGTGAGGCCAGTGATCTTCTAAAGAGGAGGAAGGTATATTTCCTAAAGGACAACGGCTTTTATTTCTGTAGCTCAGCATGGTATTGGCCAGATCTTCACAACTGGATTTTTTAAACACATGTATATGTGTGTCTGCATAAGGGTGTATGCATGTCCATGTGTGTTCGGGTGTGCAGAGGCCAGAAGATGAGGCTGGCTACCCTGAAGCTGGAATTACAGGCAGTAGTGAGCAGCCTGGCAATGTGGGTGCTGGGAGCCACACCAGGGTCTCCTTCAAGACTGAGCCTCTCTCCAGGACAGAGTGGAGTCCTCTGTTTCCAGGAAGACACAGGGAGAGAGGTGACTAACAAGGAAAGAAAGGTAGCAGGAATCTAGGTTATGGAGCCTAAAGAAGATCATGCAGGTGTCCAGGAGAGAACTGTGGGAGCAGGACCAGCTGTCCTCTATCCCCCTGCAGGTGAGGAAGTGAGGAAATGAAGTGTGTGTGTGTGTGGGGGGGGGTACTCATGAGACATAGAAAGAAGCTGCAGGTTATGGCGATTGGCTTGGCTGGGAGGGAAATTATGGGTCCTTGTTCTTGGGAGGTAGTTAAACAGGGATGGGGAGGTTTTCCTTCAGACCCATGTGTGGGTTGCAGTTTTCCACCAATTGGTTTTGCTCCTTTGTTCTGTTTTGTTATTTTCACATACTAGCTGAAACCAGTCATGGGCCTCGAAGGAAGGCGAACCTGGCTACCTTCAGCTTAGAGAGGATCAGTCACTTCTCATCTTTCCTGGAACCTGTTCCTTCCCACCGCAGAGGTGGGAGGTGGGGGTGGAAGTGTGGGGTGTGGGAGTGGGGGTGTAAGGAGTGGGGGGTAGGGAGTGGGGGTGTAAGGAGTGGGGGGTAGGGAGTGGGGTGTTAGCTGTTGACATGAGTTCTGATGAAAAGAAATAACTGCCACAGGCGGCAATTCAAGTCTTCCCAAATACTCTGCCTGTCATTCCCTGTCTTTATTCCTAGCTGTGGCCAACCTGCTACCAACCGCATTGTGGTTTCCTGCACCTTACGCTAACTTGCCTTTGTGATGAACAGAATGTACTCTGGGTCTGGCAATAAGGCTAAGAGAAGAGGGAGGGGTGGGAGAAGACAGGGAGACTAGCAGAGGGAGAGAGACACCTTTCTGAATCTTCCTGCCTCCCCCCAATTGCGGCTGCTATTACCCACTTACACAGTGCTGGGGATCAGATGTAAAGCTTCCTACCAATTGACTACATCCCCAGACCCCACCCCTATGTACTTTTATAAGGCCTAGTTCATTGTTAAAAAATTAGACTTAAAGCTCTCTAGTTAATTTTGCTGCCAGGCCTGTCATTTGAGCCAGGTATATTACTACCGTTTCCCCTGGTAGATGCGCGGTAGATGACTACTTCACGACGTTCCTAGAGGTGAGATGCTCAAACAAGAAACACCCATGAAAAGCCTTTCAAATACCAAAGCCCCATAAAAATGTCAGCTATTGCAGGCCGCTCCAAGGTGTAAGCAGAAAACAATGTACAGGCAGAA